TACAATATCCATAACAACAACAAATCAAAAACAACTAAAACAGTCAAAAAATAAAAAAAATTAACATTTTCAAATGGCTGGAAACTGATGCCAGCAAGAAAGCACTACAGTCATTCACATATCCTAGCTCCACCAGGATATCCTGAAGTTTCTTTGCTTGCTTCACTTGATCAGCCGACGAGTTAGCTGCCGAGCTACTGAATTCGAATACAGTCGCGAAAAGCTTTTCGGTGAGTCGCTGAAGCGACTTTTTGCTTCGCCTTTCAATCGCTGCAAACAACCAAAAAAACTTACAACATAAAACTTTTACAAAAATAATCACAACAACATTCAACCCCATTCAACTTCCTTTCTTCTCAATACAAACTGTGATAAAATTCTAATTCAGTTAATTATTCCTTACATCAGATATAATCTCAAAAAGCTTTTTACGAGCACAAAAAAAGAAATCTTCAACGGTAAAAAAAATTCCTGCCAAAAACATTCACTCAATCCCATCACTGGAAATAACATAATCCAGAAACAAACACGATGGACGGTCTTGTCCAATAAAACAAACTAAGAACTCAAAAACTAACGCGCTTTCACAAGGAACATATCCCTATTCAATCGTGCATAACTGATCGCCGCTTCTATTCCTTCTTCCCTTACGATTCTCTCCAATAACGAAACAACCACGACGTCACGCACATACGCGCGGTTGTTCGTTGCTGCACTGCAATTGCAATCCACTCTGATTTATTCGTGAACACATAAAATTATCACAAAACTACCAATAACTTCTCTATACGGCCATAAAATTATCCATCTGCATGCAAACTATTTTACAGTTTATACAAGAATAATAACTAACAAATAAAGAATGTGCAAAAAAGGAATTGCTTACAAAAGATAAATAAGTTGAAATTTCGAAGACAAAATCACAAACGAAGAAATAAAAACGCCACTTACAAATCCCACATCAGCCGTTTCACTTCGTCACAATTCACTCCTTTCACGATGAACACTTCAAATAGCTCGGAGATGAACTCCTTGATTGTCTCGAAATGTGGCCAATGGTGTTCGTTCAGCATCATGCGTAAATTTTCAATATCCTGGAAGTATCGTCGAATCAAAAGAAGACCCATGAAATGCAACAGACCTAAGATAAAATCAATGGATGCCATCCCCTTTTCACTGAGATCTGCACTCTAGGCACCGTAACTCTCTTCATTCATCCATAACTGTACCAGAGTAATGCAATGAATCAAATGAAAAACCTTTTGTTTCGTTAGTTTCCTCAATTGCGCAGCCGAAATCTCCTCAACCCGAACCTCCAATGGGTCGAACATAATCCTGCTCACTGAAGACTGGCCAGGCTCTTGTTTTTGATCGACATTTCTTTCAGATTCTTCCGATTTCTCAGATTCCTCACTCCTTGGAGCAGAGGATTGGTTTACATTTGGAGATGATGATCCCTCGCTAGCTTGCTGAGACACTGGACTGTTCATTTCAGCAGATGATAATAAAATATTGCGTGCGTTTGACTGGGATGCGACAACGGATGATGCATGAAGCCTTTCTGTGACCCTCGGCACAACGTGCTGATGATTGCTGGATCGCTGAAGAAAAAATTCACTGAATGCTTATCAAATAACAGGGAATATTACTCTCAAATCATCTAAGATTCTTCAACGAATTTGAAACCTCGATATTAGTTTCATTCAAGGTATTTTGAGCAGATAAGCAGATTCGATCACGATTGCGTTTTCACAAAACAATTGAAACCAAGTTTCCGAATAAACCAAGAAATTGAATAATTCAGGAATAGAAACAGTATAAAGGATGGAGAAGATACGAACCAATCGGCAGTTTTTAGCATACTTGCTTCTACGGATCAACACATAATCCCGATGTGGCAACAACTTTCGCAAAAATTTGTGCCTTCGGAAATTCGGAAGGATGTACCTGAAGTTCAGAAGCACTAAGATAACCGCTTTCATTCCGCTATACTCTGAATGCACATAAAAAGAGACAAATCGACTATTACCTATGAGCCTGCTGCGTGATCTCTTCATCGAGTATTCTCGATTCAAACAGATTAGCACCAGAGTCACTCAAGCCATCACGAACTTCTTCACGGAACTGTTCCAATATTTTCGAGATATTCATATTCTCGCAGTCATTACCAATCACTGCACTCGAATCTTCTGAGCCAGCCTGAGGACTGTTAACCAAACGTGACTCCTCAGCAGAATCATCCAGTACGGTCGGGATAAAGGTCACTAAAAATTTCTTTTATAACATTTCAAGGAACCGCCATATTGTTAACAACCACATTGTGCAAATTTTGAAACCAATTATGAAGTGATTACTGAAAGTTGCCGCACCGTTTTCGTCCAATGAGTATGGCGATTCTCTACTTGTTGACGGTTGGCTGAACGAGAGCAATCCAAAATGATCGGTTATATCAGGTACATGTGCACTGTAAAACAATAAGTGAGATTACAATAAACTACTCACGTCAAACGAACAAAACCTAAACTTTAATAGTTAAGAGACACTGCTAGAATACAGAACATTGAACGAAATGGATGCAGATTTTGAATAATCAGAACCACATAGACCTCAAACCGTACAGTAATTCACTGAATTTATGAATTTTTAGATGGGTATCGAAACAGTCAGTTCGATTAGTGTGAGCAAAGTGACAAATATCTGCTGAATATGTAAGAAATATGAAAGAAACATTCCTAAGGCAAACACACTAATCTTTAATTCCAAACATAATAACAATAACAGTAATAATAATGATTTTTTTAAACAAGAAAACCTTATGTACTCACCTGTTAACGTTATTAGGTCGTTTGATAAATATTGGAACGCTCATTCCACCCTCATCGTACAAAAACCATGGTAGGGAAGATCCTCGAGATAATTTGCTGGCGCGGTGTCGAAATGTTAATGAATCTGAAATGTTTTTGTTCAGGGAAGAAATACTGACAATAAATAGCATATCGGAATAATTTTTGCGGGATGAAGAAGGTTGTCAAATGTATGCTCGTGATTTATTCCTAAGTTCTGAGTCAAGCTCCACACAGAAGTGAATTATGTGATCTAATTGTAAGAAAAATGCACGCACTCACCAGAAAGAACTTTTTCGGCGAATGCATTTAACGATTTCGATCGTCTCGATGCCAAATACAAACAGCCATTCAACGAGAGAAAATGCCTGAAACAAAGAAACATAAGAAAAGCAATATATCGATATCACAAAGTTATCCTAGATCAGACTTCAGTGAAAAAATAGACCTGAAAAGTGCGAAGAATTTGTCAAAGTTAAAAGTGACACTGGTAGTGATAATTTTAAAAGAAAGGTAAACACAAACCTTGAGCAACAAGCCCTTGAAATTCGCCACATGATATTATTGCTGCGGTTTCGGTCGATGACCGATAAGAATAAATATAAGATGGCCTCTGGCTGGAACCTGTTTCAGTTTACATTCATTGGAAGATAGTGATACCCAGTTATCAACTGATAGCTGAAAATGATGCAGTACAGGACCACAATTCGTAACGAATACAATGCAGCAGAACGAAGGAAATTTCTCGTAAGCACTGGATTTTAATGATTGAACACTGCATCCACTGATAAAAAATGAGATTTTCCATACGCTACAGGTGTAAGAATATCAAATAATGCATTTCACAGGTAACACGATAAAGAAAAATATACGTGGATTTCTCATGTTCTAACCTTGAGCTCTGCTATGAGCCTCCGCTTGAGCCTGAGGTAGCCTTAGCTGTTTGAGTTTACGGCAAATGCTATTTAGCACCGCCCAAGTCTATGATAAAGCATGCCTCAACTGGACAATGGGACAATGGGCGTGTACCAAAGCAGCATGAAGACAGAGAGAGTAATGCGCATCAGCGGTTTCAACACCTCTCGAAAAAAATCGTAAAACATCCATCCTTGAACATTGAGCAATAAACGCTTTTCCGATTCTGCATATTCTGAACCCCACAAGTATGTATTGTACCGAGGGAATATCCTCTGTCGCTCAGATTTGCCTAATTTTCTGAAGGTATATCAGGAAAATCGATTCCAAAGCACCGATCGATCCATTGCAATATTCAAGGGTCATGTTACCAGCTATGAAATGGTTGGTGATTATGCCAGAATTCAAGGCAAAAGGGCCATTCACAATTAAAAGACGATCACCAAACTGGTAGTGAGTAGGTAATGTGGTCGTTACAAATTATCCAATGTTTCAGTAGAATCCATAACCTGGATGTACTGCTTGTATGAATTGTCACAATTCACAAATGAATCACACGGAAACGTCATTTCAATGTTTTTATTTGCCAGACTTAATAGCATCTTCACCTGGCAAAGTTCAATCACTTAAAGCATCACGAAGATTTGCTTGATCAGTCGATCAAAATCAACTAGTGATAATTTTAGTTTATGAAATCTTTTTAAGGCATCAGTCATCATTTCAATCAGGCTGAATATGACGATGTTTGCCATTGTTGCTGTAGCGATGACGATGACGACGATTGTGGATCATCAGAGTCTGATGAAGGTGCGCAGCTCTTTCGACTTGATGACACCGTGCTTTGGACGTATTCCTTAAAGACGGGACAAGTAATTCCTAGCAACTGGATCATGCATAACAAGCGATACGAATTTACTCGTCAACTTCCGGTCAAATGACACTAAACTTAGTGCCAGATATTCTTTGAAAGGAGAATCTATTTGGATTTTGCAGTGTATAGTTGGGTTGGGTTTTCTTCATGATTTCAACAAGTACGTCTGTTTAGACGGAATGTTTGTCTCAAGGAAACTAATGAGTGCAGAAAGTTGAAATGAGTGCACCTTGAATGGACAACAGCAATGTATAATATCCAGTGATCTACAGTGATCAAATGCATATCAATGAGCACCTCAGCGCTAGTT